AGCTTTTGCTTTTTTACTCAATTCCTTAGATGCTTCATCAAATGTAAATGCAATTATTATATCATCATCCTGAAGGCTATTAGTTAGCCATGACTCCAACGATGAACTATTATGACTGTATAAATCAAAAGTTTGCATAGAAACTAGTTGTAGGTATTTCGTTTCTATCACAGCAATGTTCAAACCTCTTCCTCCTCCTCCAACATATTTCCCCTGCACACACAGTTTAGGTTGATCATCTTTATCTTGACCAGTATATATATGCACTGGAAAAGTGTTGTCGGAACAAACATGTTTCAATCCACAATTTGGGTAGATTTCAGATATTTTAATTTCAGATTTTAATGACTCTCTGGATATACCTGAATTATCTACCGTAGTATTGTCGAAAAACATAACATTCTTTTGAGAAATAAAATAATCAAACCAATCTGGATTTGAAGTTACTATCACAACACAGGCGATTAAGACAACCAATATCAATAATCTTACTTGAGATATGATTTTGTAGAATTTTACCAAATATTTCATTAAAAACATGTTCACATCAGTTTGAGATATTCATTTCAAATTCAAAATTATTGGCATAAAATAAAATATAAAGAAATATTTCTGTTTATTATTCTTGAATTTAAACTTCTCGCTCAATCACGGTCGTTCTTTAACGATTCGGTAGGAATGAGTTGTGCAATGAACAAAAGTCTTTCACTGTTATTGGCTCTTTGTTTTATAAAGATAAACTTAACGTACCAAAGGTTATCTCGAGTCATCAACTTATTAACTAAATAATTACTACAGGATTTGAGGTCAGTCAGTATTATAAGGCGCGAGTGTTGAAATAATCGAATTATTTGCTCTATGAGAGTCAATTCGCCCTTAATATTGCTTCCAGTAAATGTTTAGAACCTAGAAATTATTGCCGTGTACTAAGTAGAATGGATGTGTCAGGATACATTTCTTCGCCGTGTCTGAAAAATAAATAGTAACCGACCTGGATGTGAATCAAACCAATATTATTCTGAATCGGCCACTCTGAGATTCAAGTCCTTAGGCGCTTAGTAATCTTGTGTACAAATAATATGACTTTACAAAAATCAGCATAACTTTACATTCATGCAGTTCAAGATTTTTGCTGTTGGACGCCGAACTAGAAGGGTGGCTACCACTTGTTGGAATTTATAAAAAATACAAAGTATATTGATTTCAGTATATGATTAAAGCAAATGAATTAGAGACATAGTGAATGACATACAATCGAGGCTTTGGTGGCCAAAGGTAATAAGGGCACTTGCGCGCTTTAGATGCTGGAGTCAGAAATAACTAGATTGGAAGTAAAAAAAGAAAATCACTTGTTTTCTCGCTTCAAGATTAAAGGCAACTGTATGAACTTGTCTTTATTTCCAAGTATGTTAGTTCTCTAAAAAACTTTCTCCACTCTGGTTGGAATAGGTTCGGTTTTAGCTCTAGAACCATCTCCCTTTATGCCAGTAATGGCAAGATAGGGAATTTAAAAAAAAGTTCTTCAAAAATATGAGCTAAGCAAAATACAAAAATAATAGTAATTAGTATTATTGTGCTTCGGTTCAGCGCGATACCTATTGGAGGATTCAATACACATACTCGATTACTAAATATACAATATTGCCGGCCATTGGATGGTTTTAATTTCATATTGTTTGCTTCCTGATACTGCCATGATGTAAAAAAAAACTAAAACCTTAAGATAGCTTAAACGAGGGGTGCTCAGAAGGGTTGTCATGGCGCAAGTTGCTCCATCAAAATTTTTAATGTTAGCTATGGAGTTTTGAGGGGAGACATCTTTATGGGGTTTTAGTTTATTTTATGACCTTTTGAACCAATGCACAAGATAAAACATAGAGTAGACTACAACTAGAGTAATTTTATTTTATGTTTATAGTTTTGTAAATAAACTATCACTTTTATAATTAACAACGTTAACAACGTTCTTAAGACTCTTAAATTAAGAGGAAAGCAATAAAACAAGAAGGGGGATAGGTGAGATGAAAAACATGTAGTTGGGTTCTGAAAAAATATCGCTTGCATTTAAAAGCTGGAATAGAATTCAAGTGATAAAGTCTGTGTATAAGACTGAGATCGCTTTTTTAATTTAAATAAAAAAAAAGGTTCATATTTAGCTAAAAGGTTGATATGACAGTTCGACTATCGAGGATATGGCCATGGGTACCGGTCCACTGCGTAAACTGCTGCCAAACAGGATGGTGTCAGTGTCTCTTAGCTCCGCTTTATAAACATCCATTTATAAAAGCTAATAAAATACATTTCAAATTAAATACTATTCAAATAAATATTATTCAGAGACGACAGGATAAGGGAAAAAAAAAAAAAAAAAAAGAAAGATATTTCTTGTATGGAAGTTTTGAAGCAAGAAACATTAGTTCTTGCTAATAAATATAGGATAAACAACGATATAAGCTAGCCGCAGACGGGCAATGACGTAACCACGTCTCCACTTTCGTGACACGTCACGATCGATCTCCACCAATTTTCTCAAACACTAATTGCCTTTGGAAATATACATCAGAAAAGTTAACATTTTGCGTTTTTACTTTCACTTGCCTATATATGTAATATATAGTAAGAGAAACTATTGCGATCGTGAAAATTTTTGAATCTAAATTTTCAACGGAAATAAACGTTGTGAGGTCCCCTGAGCCCAAATAACCAAGTCTCGTAAAATGGTCTGTGTGTCTGTGTGTATGTGAACAGTCTATCTCAAAAACGAAAAGTAATACGGAACTGATATTACTTACTTAAGATAGGTATATGCCTTAGAAGAAGTGAAATATAAAAATATTTCATGGATGTGTTTAAAATCTCTAATACGTTCACTGTAGTTTAATAACTCTGGTTAAGATATTATATTTAAATGATTAAGTTTCTATCGGCCGTTTATTCCAAAACATGAACAGGTAATCTTTTAGAAAATTAAATTAGCGAATAATTTGATGAATTTTCCCTTTGTGAAATCCCTAAACTATCCACTTACTATTACTGTGACAACTTTTGACCTATCCATGGCAGGCAATGGAAATCTCGTAATTTCGTTTTAGTAAACTTTACAATGGAAAATAACAGTTTAATTACTAATAGTTCATAAACCGTAAGGATTTATAGTTTAAATGTTCCTATGTACTTTCAAACCTCTCTAGGCGTATATGAGCCTTTCGGTTTACAGACTGGCTAATTGTAATTTCAACATTCTTTATTATTAATTTTAGTGATTTTTCTAGTTACAAAATTTATACGTTTATTCACAGTTCATATTTCAACATTGCAATCACCTGTGGCACGTTATGCCTATTTCATTGCTTTATACTTTGGAGTTTTCTATTTATCACGTTATCAATCTATGTCACTTTTTGAGCTATATGCTTATTTAATAATATTAATTTCAATACTTCCTTTATCAATTTTATTCACTTACCCTTTTGGGGGCTTGAATAATATAAAATAAATAGCTAAACATTTAAACAGTGACACAGTTTTATGAAAGAGAAAAAAAAAACAGCTTTAAAGTTGAGAAAATTTAAAATTTCATTTTATTTTTTTAGGGACAAGGTACATAGCAGATGCCTAGTAAATATCACTTTGGAATTTGAGATCTTCAAAAACTATATTTTTGTCGTGCTAAATTTGTATTTCTGACCACTATGGACATGATTAAATTACACGTGATGTTTCAAAATAGTGACAGATATCCATCAGACTTGCCTTCAATTGATTATTATATCATTACAGTACTTAACGCTCTTTAATCCATTAATGGAATAAAGTGCACGTAAAAATGCAATAGTCTACAAACTTAGTGGTTTTGGGTTCGAATCCTGGTACTGCGATTTATAGTTAAATAATTAAAAATAAAAAAGGGTTACTTAAAATTTGTTCGGCCGGTCTATCTACTGGAGACAACTCACATCCGACTAGTCATAGAGGTGATGATCCTAGTCCATGCATTTTAGTCAGGAATCGCGATATGGTTTTTGAGGATGCCAGCAGGTTCCTGGAAAGTAACCAAAGGTTTGGTACATGGTCGGTTTATTTCTGAGAAAGAAATATAGTTCCTCGTGCTCCTATTGACACTGTGAGCTGCAATAACTTATAGATATATATACTAATTTGTCTCTGTTCTTGAACCTGAGTGAGTCGGCTAGAACGACATTGCCAGATTGACTCCGAAGCTATGGGTGGCCTACCATTGCACTATAGAGAAACCATGGTTCGTAGCAAAGTGAGGTTGGGTAACCACCTCCAGGCTCTCTGTGCTCCCGCAAGCAACATACGTCTGTAAGGAGACCCCAAAGATCTTACACCCAAAGATCTTCAGCGCCAACCGAAAAAAAAAAAAAAAAATATATATATATATATATAATCCATAACGGTGAAATTTCATTTATTAATAAAAAGTTAAATTGTTCGTTTTACAAGGGGTATTAAAACTTGGATGTTGGAAGAAGAATCGGAAAAATAAAAATAACTTCACCATTAATTTTTTTAAATTATTTTCAATACTAGTAACAGCACACCTTAACACCAACAATTCAACTAAGGCCTGACAGTCGACCTAAGCGTTTTGAAAATAATAAACAATTTTAAGTATTAAAGTAACTTCTCCAATTTTAAGAATCCTTAAACAGAAATATATTACGTTAAAGTTTATTTGACTTTCGTTTGCCTCTTCCCTTCCAGAAACAGATAATTCATATATTCCAACCCATAATTTCGTCGAACATCAACCAGATGAATGGGTTTTTTTTCAGTAGTGATTTGAAAAATGAATAAAATCTATACGCATTGCTATTTAAATTTAGCAAAATTGAAAAAAAGATTTGTTTACATACCGCAAAGCTTAGAATTATTCACGGAAGTTATTTAATTATTGTAGGAAGCACTAGAAGAAAAAGTCGGTGTCCTTCTTCGAAGTGGGGATTTCTGGTGGTCGGGGGCTGCTCCAGTCAGCGTCCGACATTCGTCAAGTAGAGAACTGCAGAAGCGAAACCAGTGAGTAACTCATGCCTTTTCCTCTTTATATTTATTTTTTACTTTAGCTGTATACTCAAATCCTGTTTTTTAATTTACTGATAACATTATTAATCTATCGTTCATTTTTAATCATTCCGTTGTAAATTAATATTATAATACTGTAGAACCAAATTTGAAATTGTCCATTACAAGATTAAAAAATAACAAAAATATTATGGCTATTCTTTTTATCTAATTAATAGTTATATTTCATTTGGAAGAACTACACTAATTTTATCTAAGGTATTTTCATATAGGAAGCTCCTCCAGTTTTCATATACCTTCATTCGAACTATATATATAATATGCATTGACATCAAAAGTGCTTATATCATATTTGAGAAAATGGAAATTCAATGGCATAATATACAATTCATAAAAGAAATTAAGGTAGGATGTATATATTTATTTAAAATTTCCTTTTAAATTTAAAAGGATTTAATATATCAATCCTCCAATTTATTAATTTGAGAATATTGGCCCCTTTTGTAATTAATTTAGAGATGGATTTTTTTTTAATTATCTGTATGATAGATAGAGTTTTCTGACTTAATTTATTTTTATCATTTTCCCGATATTTCACTCCAAGTTTGTGGGTCATCACAAGTATAATACTTTCTGCCTATTCTAGCATCAAGAACTGAGTGGTAACGTTGGTAAGCTGGATAAAAAAGTCTATACTTTTTTTTTTAAATGTCATCCTCTTACTTGCCTTTTAGGCTATATGGGGTTTTACCGAGTCCAGAGGGTGAGGGTGGGGGATTGATATCTGTGTTAAAAGCCACTCGTAATTATTCGATCAAATTATCTTTCAATCAGGATGCCGAGTATACGTTAATCCGCTCAGGCACCCCGCCCAAGTAAAATATTAATACAAAAGTATATATAAAGCTACACTGAACATCACGAGTTCAATATTTTATAAAGAAGTATTATTTCTTAGGTGATGAAAGGAGGTGATTTAACCTAGAATACCCTTAAACGCCAGATATTTATGTATATCTGAAAATTCCATAATCCTGTTCTATGGGTTCTTGAACGGATAAATAACGCATTCTTATACTCCACCGATGACCTTCGATACAATGCAAATATCTATTATTTTTAGGAAAAATAAGACAAAAACTGGGTTGCTGAATTTACCACTTAAAAATATGAAGAAGAAATAGAGCAAAAATCGTTTTTTCTTGAACGATTCACCATTAGGAAATTAGGTTCATGAACATATGTACACAAACTGTTATTATAATTATTAAAAACAAAAATTAAACAATCTACAGTGTTCTTATGGAAATAATGAAAATGACGTGTCAGACATGGGGAAGAATATCACTCAATAGTACCTCTTATCTGGCTTGTTTCAAGCACCATGGTTTGTTAAGGAAGGAGATCTCTCATCCAGCTCTTATTTAGTCTTCTCCTCGCATTGATGAGCATATCAGCTGAAGCTAAACTCTTATTAGTATGTTAGTGTAATTTATTGTTAGTAGAAAATCCACTAATTTTACAAATGATTAAAATTACGTGAAAGTTGGAATTTTTCCAACGATGTTATATTTAGATCGAAAAAATTTCCTTGACATGGACTATATTATTAAAAAATCAAATTATTTTTGACAATTGCATAAAATAAAAAATAAACGGAAACGCTAATATATGTTCGGTATTCAATCCTCTATGGAATGTAAATGTAAAAGTTATTTTTAACTCTTACTACTATGTCAACAGATTCTTTTGTGGACAAAAGTCTTATGGAAACGATTTTTCAGTCACAGAAGAACTATATTAAATTCAAAGAATTTCGTCGAGAAGTCTAATTAATATGTCTTGTCTGCTACTTAGACTTAATCTGCATGGAATTTTCCATTGTATTTCTTTTGGACTTGATAATTAGAAAAAAATGGTATAATTTTTTTCATTCATTGGGCTGTTGCCTATAATGTTTCACAGTTGAACTAAATAAATTTATTTAAATTCATGTTTATATTTCAGGTGAAATTATGTTTTACTATATAAATAAAGGCCATCTCACCACATTTATTTTCATTTCTTCTCTACAGCGGCTACATTTCGGGTTAATACGGCTCATTCTATTATGTCCATAATGACATCTTCGCCGAAACGTAGCCATAATATAGGAGAAATGAAAATAAATGTGTTGAAAAATACTGACTTTATTTATATAGTAAATTTATTTATTTATTCATGCAATTATCTCCAGTTGACATTTAACAGATTATGAGCAGTACGTGAAGAGGAACACTTATCGTTTACTAAACTAGCTATGATCGATAGCATCTCGAAAAATAAATGTCATCCAATTAAGTTTTCTGTGGACGAATACGCAAATAGCGGGGACAAAGGCTATTACTTATGCAGGAGGTAGAAAAGAGATCCTTGACTTAGCAGCTGATTCATCCATGCTTCCGTAGCTGGAGGATTGCGAAGGCAAAACAACAATCTTACCAAACTCCTTCATCTTCCATGATTATGAGATTTTACTCTCTAATGATTGTATTTACAACAATTTGCATTTAATTTAATTTTCATGGAGCAATTCTTATCTAGAATGATATAAAATTGATCTTACTTGGAAGATGATTATTTTTAAATGACGAAAAACAAAGGCGCTTTGTTTTAAGGTGGAATATATAGTTGTTCCACCAACTCCACTTTAACGTCAAAAAGGGATACTTTTATCATATATAATAGTCGACTGTAGAAGATATTAAGAAAGAAGTTGGTTACGATGCTCAATCAATGAAAGAAAAGAATAATAAATAAATTATATTTATTTTTGTCCTCTGCGCCGAGGTTTCGGTCCAAGTTTTAGGCCTTCATCAGGGCTAAGCAAAAACAAGATAACATATAATATAGATATCGTTACGAGTACTCGATTTATCTTAATCTATTAATTTATATATTTTAATTTTTGAATAATTTTCTATGTATACCATATGTTACGAGATTTCAATACATCTTATCATTTCTATTTAGTTTTATTATTTTCATTATAAAACTTCATTTTAACAACTACGCCGCTCAATTTATTTTACTTTTAACACTTACGATTTACATCTCTTAATATTCCATTTCACTTTTTTGTTAATTCCATTAAGTATTTACCGTTATTTCACTATTGTTAACTACATCATTTTATTACCTTTACTTTATAAATTTCCAAGTTTGTTCCGTTATTTCATAAGTTCCTTACTTTGTTGCCGTTATTTTATATATCATCCTTTATCAATTTAATTATTATATACGTCAAACAGTTATTTTATATTTCATTGCTTTGTTGCAATCTAATCAAGTTGTTACCGTTATTTTACTATTGTTTACTTTATCGCTTGTTTTATTTTATTAACTTTGTTACCGTTTTAAATTTAAAACATGAAAATTAATATATTTTCATCAGCCCTGGATTGATTCTGGTGTCGGGAGATCCTCCTAGGGAACATACAGCTTCTATATAGTGGGTACTCTTAATTAAATAATTAATTAAGCTGTAAAACATGGCTGTTGAGCGTGCTCCTGGCCCGATCACCTCACTCCACATAATTATTCCGGTAAAAAAGAAAATAGCTCTTAGCTAGAAATCAGAGCCCTTCAAGCTAATTGAAGGAATTAAAAATTCAGTAAAATCATGGTCTATCTCGAACCGAACTATTCTTAGAGAGGAGGGTGCCTTGGCGAGACTAAGATACTAAGGATTGGACATATAGGAACCTGGTACATTCTTACCTGAGTAGCCTGATAAACTGAAAAACAGCCAACACTGCTATAGTACTCTCAGTCAGCCATATTTTTCACGAGTAACCCTATCACCTATGAATCTTACCTAAATTAGGACTCATACCAAAACTATCCGATATTTTAAATAATGATAAAGTTAACGTAAGGTCGGTGATTAATTTTCTTAAAGTTAATGATTTGTTAAAACAAATCTAAATTTGAGATTTTTTAAAATTTATTTATTTACTCTTTACTCTCTTTTATTTATATTCCTTCCCCAAAATAATTTAGTATTGAGGTAATTGAAACAAAGAGTAAATAGGTGTTTATGACCTCAGGGTTTTATGTCTCTAAGCCCTAAACAACAACATCACTCCACAACCGCTGGCCTCAAAACAGTACTTCCTAACAAAGTAATGATGTCTTCTTCATTAATAAATGTGTATTTATTCTCTGTAAATATGGCGCTCAGGAGTCACTTGCGTGAAATTTAGCAATAAAGCATAATCGACTTTAAAAGCAGCTGAAATGACACCACGACAAATTGGTCATCCGTTGAATCACTTAAAAAAAAATAAAATAAAGTAAAAGAACTAGAAGACCTCTACGATTTTCCGGTCATATAAAACTCTCTGCATTATAAGAAATCTAAAGAACCGATGGTTCTTTTACTCAGAATGTGAGACAACTGAAGCCAAGATATGATGTTGGAAAGAGGATAGCTGAAACTAGATATTTTAAATATCGTAAAACTACAGGAAAACCAAAGCTCAAAAAACAATACTTACGGTTTGCCTAAGTATGTTTTTAGTGACAAAAAAAAGTTTAATCCGGACGACTTTTTCAATGCTGCAGTTTCAATTATTACTGATGTGATCTAAAAGAGAAAAAAAAATTGGGCAGGCCATATTTTGCTTTATTGAATAAGTTCTTGAGCAAGCTGCACGTGAAGTTGTGCTGCGGTTTTCTTGTAATTGATGGTGGTTTAAATAACTGGTTCCAGCTATCCACTTCCATTCTGAGCTGACATCACATTCTAGGTCGAGTCGCCTCACAATCTGGACAGAAGAAGCACCGGTTCTAGAGATTTACGACAAAGTAGGGGTTTGCACATGGCTAGAAAATCTTCGAGGGTTCACAGTCGCGAGTTATTTGCTCAGATGTCTTTCCATTTATTTATAACTGGGCATTTATTTTTACATAAATATATCAAATAAACAGGTACATACAAATTTACAATGTTT